AAAAAGTTATGTCTTTGCATTGATTTCAGTCAGGCAAGTATGTAGAGATTGAAGGACAGACAGACAGACAGACAAGGCTCTGCTAGGAGCCCGTGCTAGGACCAGCCCCCATCGCACCCACTCTGGTGCTCTGGAAGCTGAGGGTAGCCTCCATCCCTTCCCAGAGATACTCTCCACTTGAGCCAATCATGTGGGTCCAGCCCTGCCCCCCTGCTTGCCCCTGTGGCCTTTGCTCTGCCCAGGCCTGTGGTCTCCCGCAGCTTTTGGGAGGGGAGGGACTTGAAGGAGGAAGGGGTGGCAGAGCTGCCAGGCTGAAGGGTGTGGGTAAGCTCAGGGGGCTCCAGGGGCACCTTCACCCCTGTGGTGGCACAGCTGGAGGCCATAGCAGCAAGCTGGTGCCCCAGGATTGCAGGCGTTCCATGGGAACACAGCCTGTGGTGGGACCTGTGCCAGTAGCTGCTGCAGGATGGGGCTCTGGGTGCTGAAGGGGTGGGAAAGGAGAGTGGGGAGCCCCCTAGTTTTGGTTTGGGTGTGGAGTCAGGCCCTGGAAGGCAGGACTGTACCTCCCAGCCTGCTCCCTGCTTTCCTGAGGCCTGGGGGGGGGGCAGTGGTGGCTCAGGCTAATCACCCAGCAGTGTAGGAAAGATGGTAACTGCAGCCAGCACACAGCGGGGGAACCCATCCTATGCACCACCAGCGGCTCCCCAGCCAGAGGAGGCCCAACAGTGTGAGTGGGGCCACCTCAGGGCTGGCTGGATGCAGGGTGTCGGGGGGTTGTCCTGGAACACCCCCTCTGGCTCCTAACACCCCTCTTCCACGCAGCATCCCACATGGTATGTTTCAGAGTGCCCATGAGACAAGGAGGGGTCCCTACAAACACCATCACCCACCTACTCACACAAGCAGCAGGGACGGACACACCCTCGCACACCATCTCTCCAATCCATGGACGGAGGGCTGTCCCCCCCCCGACATGCAGGTGCGCACGAGTGCGTGTGCCCACACAACACACACACACACACGCACACACACACACGCACACACTGCTGCAGTTTTCCAAGATCATTTTAACCCAGATAGAAACGTGTGTGTTGGAGTGAATATGTGAAGGCTAGACACAGGGACCGAGTTGGAGATGAGGTAGTGACAGAGGCAGAGATACAAAGAGACAGAGATGTTGAGAGACACAGAGACAGAGATAGTGAGACAGAGATAGGAGGAGAGAGGCAGAGACAGAGACCGAGAGAGACAGTGACTCTCCTGCCTCAGGCTGACCAGGAGCCCTAGTGGCTGTGCCTCCGTGGGGGCTGTGGGGGTCTTTGTTCCCAGGCAACGCGGCCAGGGAGCTTCCTGTTGGGTCCACCCTGGGTCCACTATGCCCACTTCCTGAGACTCTGGCAGTGACCAGCCCACACCCTCAAAGCCCAGGGTCCTGCGCAGTACGTCGAGAGCCAGCCACCCTCCAGGCCGGTGCCCCAGTCTCCTCCCCCGACAGAGGCTGCCAGCTCTCACACCAGCTCTGCAGCAGCTCACCGGCCCCTCCTGCCTTGCCTTGCCTGCCACCATTGCGTCCTAGTCCCGCTCCGGCTCCCGGCACACACTGAGAGACACTCACCCTGGTGGCTTGGCTTCCGCTGGCCTTCTCTCTGCGCCCCAGGCCCCCCTTCCACATGCCTGAAGCCGCCCCACTTGGCGGCCCGGCCACCCCGACTCCCTGGTGCATCCAGTCCAGCTAGGGCTGGGGGGGCGCAGGGGTTTCTTGGGTCTCCCTGCGCCCCCCCCCCCAGGCCTGTCGCCCTTCCCACCCCCTAGGGTAGGCTGTCCTTTGTCTTCTGTCCCTTGGCCACAACACAAGCCCTTGCCTCCTCCGGTCCTCTATCCCTACCTTCGCCCCCCCACCAAGCCTCCTTCCTCTCTGCCTGCAGACCGGCCTCTGTCCCTCTCCCGGCCCCCCTCTGATTCACTTCCCTTGGGATCACCAGACTCCTTGTCTGTCTGTCCTTCTTCACTGTCCCTGTCACCCTGTCATCACTGGGAGCCTGACTCAGTCTGGTTCCAACTGTCTGCCTGTCTGTCAGTCCTGGGGCCTGCCTCCCTCCCTCTCCAAGCTCTGCCTTTCCCTGCGATTACAATTTCTAGTCACACGGCAGTGCAGAGCCCAGCTCCCTCCCCGCCCCCTCCCTCCTTCTTTCTCTCCTTCCAGCGGGGAGGGCGCTCCCTCCCTCCTTCCCTCCGCCCTTCCTCATCTCCCCCCTCCCGACTAGCTTGGCTGGGGGTGGCCTCCCCCTCCCCCGCTAATCAAAGGCTCCGTTATCTAATTAACCCATTGGTTCTGGGCAGCCAGAGAAGGTCGGGAAGCGGGGGAGGAAGGTTGATGACTGCGCTGCCAGGGGAGAGGGGTTTGGACTGTGCCAAGCCTGAGCCTCGTGGCACACACACAGCCGCCTCTGCTGCAGAACCAGGCCGGGCAGCACTGACTCCTTCTTGCTGCCCAAGGCATCTCTCCTGCGTCCCCATAGTCCATCCTGGACCCCCTGAACCTTCTCCAGGACCCCCAGCACACCCTGCAGCCACCGATTCAACTTCCATCCTGACATGACAGCCTATCTGTGCCAGTCAACCTAGGCTGGTGTGACTATCACCCCATCCTTCAGCTGTGGCTGGGGCTTACTCCTGACACAAAGAAACCTACCCCTGATGCCTCCCTTTCCCCAGCCTCAGCCACAGTCTAACACCTGCCTCCTGGTGCTCTGTAGAATGAGCTGGGCAGCCATGCTCTGTTTACTCTGTGTTCCATCCGTCCATCCATCCATCCATCCATCCACTCAACAATCATCATCCATTCATCTATATCTCCACCCCATCCATCTCTCCCTCTGTCATCCATCCATCCCTTTATCCATCCATCCATCCATCCCTTCATCCATCCATCCATCCATTTATCTGTATATCCATTCCTCCACCCATCTGTCCAGTCACCTCTCCTTCTGTCCATCCACCCATCCCTTCATCCATCTACTCAACGATCATCTATCCCTCCCTCCCTCCCTCCATCCATCCATTTATCCATATATCCATCCCTCCACCAGTCTGTCCAGTCACCTCTCCTTCTGTCCATCCACCTATCCCTTCATCCATCCACTCAACAATCATCCATCCATTCATCTATATCTCCACCCCACCCATCTCTCCCTCTGTCCATCCATCTGTCCATCCATCCGATTGTCCATATCCATCCCTCTACCCATCTGTCCAGCCACCTCTCCTTCTATACATCATCCATCCCCCATCCATTTGTCGATCACCTCTTCCTCTGTGCATCCATCCCTTCATCCATCTGTCCTCCTTCCTCTGTCCATCCATCCTTTCATCCACCCATCCACTCATCCATCCCTTCATCTATTCATCCCTGTATCTATACTTCCATCATCTGTCCATCTGTCTGTCTCTCTGCCCACCACTCCTGCCTGTCCATTCCCTTATCTATTCATCCATCCATCCACCCATTCATCTGTTCCTCCACTCACCCACCCATCCACACTCATCTGTGTACCCATCTCTCCATCCATCCATCTAGTCCTCCATTTTTCCTTCCGTATACCTCAAAATATTTCTGGAGTCCTACTATGTGACAAACACTGAAGCAGATACCAAGAAAAGCTACGCACAGGCCCAGCATACTGCAGATGGCCAGCAGCACCAGTAGAGTGCAAGAAAGCAGGAGGGCTGGGTTGGAATGCCGATCCTTGTGGCCTGAGTTCCAGTCTCCTCCAGTCTGAGATGGGACTGACATGGGCCCACCTCGTAGGGTGGCTGGAGGTTCGGAGAGTGGCACTCTGAACACAGGCTCTCTCCTGTGCCTCGGTCTGTGCACAGCTGGCTCCTGCTGGCCACCACCTCCCTCCTGTCTGGAATCCTCACTGCTGTCATCACAGGTGGCCAGAAGGACCCTGTGACCGTGGAAGTCAACCTGTTCTGTCATTCAGTGTGCAGGGCCCTTGGCAGCTCACACCTCACCTCTTGCCTTGGCCTGGCCCCTCGCCAGCTTCCAGCCTGCCTCCTGGGTGGGCTGTGCTTGCTGGCTCAGGGCCTTTGCACTGCCCTTCCCTCTGCCTGCTCCTCCTCAGCTCTTATGGACCTCTCCCTGCCATGCCAGGACTTTGTGCCCATGCTACCTACTAACTGAGGCTGTCTTGCCAGTTCACACCTGGTGGTGCTCTGTGCTTTGTTTTCCTCTGTTTACTGCCACCTAACCCACCAGATCCCCCTCTACCGGAATGCACATCCCCCAAGGACTTGGCCATGTTGGTCTCTGGTTCTGGAACTCGGTGAATCTCAGGTGAAGGATAGGACAGACCTACTGCCATGACACTGGTCTATATATCTTCTCTGTGAGGCCACATCTCTGCCCCGACTCATACAGCTGCATCCCCACATCCCGTACCACACGTGCAGTCCCGGCAGACTCTAAGAGCAACCCATGTAGGACACCCCTCTACCTGAGTCCCCTCCTGTCTCAGGAGTTCATAGACTTTGGCTGGACATCTGTGTCCTAGATCTCCCCCCTTCCCTGCCACAATGCCACCTGGCTGGTTAGACTCTAGTACCGTTCCAGGTCCCGATACACCTGTGGGTGCCCCATTAAAGGTCCAGGTCACTAAGGAAACCTCATTTTTGCTTGAAACAAGAGCCTATCCATGGAGATGCGCTCTGGTTCCTGGGCCAATCCAGAACAGAGGGAACACCAGCCAGGCACCTCTTCTGAGAGAGCACAGGCTTGATCAAAGCCAGGTCACTGCACAGGAACGGGAGACGGAGGGCACACTCCCATCCTCGACCCCATGCCCATCACCCTTCAGTAGCTTTTCTTGAAGGCACCACTGTCATCCACACAGCAGCCCTCTGAGAGGCTAGCACCCTCCTTCACAGAGGGAAACAGAGGCCCAGTAAGGTCTATCCACTGGCTCAAGGCCAAACAGCTAAGAGGGAAGGCTAGGCATGATGGCACAGACTTGTCATACTGCCCACTCCAAACTAAGGCGGAAGGATGACAAGTTCAAGGCCAGCCTACACAACTTAGTGAGATTTTGTCTCCAAACAAAAAGAAAAAAGAAGACTGAGGATGTATGTTGGTAATACAGCCCCTGCCTAGAATCCCCCAGTAAGGGGCTGGGGTGTGGCTCAGTGGTAGAGCCCCTGCCTAGAATCCCCCAGTGAGGGCTGGGGTGTGGCTCAGAGGTGGAACCCCTGCCTAGAATCCCCCAGTGAGGGGCTGGGGTGTGACTCAGTGGTAGAGCCCCTGCCTAGAATCCCCCAGTGAGGGCTGGAGTGTGGCTCAGAGGTGGAGCCCCTGCCTAGAATCCCCCAGTGACGGGCTGGGGGCGGTTCAGTGGTGGAATATCTGTCTAGTATGCAAAAGGCTCAAGGTTGCACCCCCAGTATTGCCAAACCACACACACACACACATACACACACACACACACACACACACACACACACACACACACACACACACAGAGGCTGTGGAGACAGCTCCATGGGTAAAGTACTTGCTTTGCATGCAGGAGGACCTGAGTTCAAGCATCAGAATGAATAAAAAGCTGGATGTCTGTCTGGTGTGCTTGTCATCCCAGCACTGGGGAGGTGGAGACAGGGGATCCCTGGGGCTAGATTGTCAGCCAGCCTAGCCAAATAGGTGAGTTCTAGGCCAGTGAGAGACCCTGCCCCAAAACCCAAGGTGTATAGGGCTGTAGAGATGACCCACTGGGTAAAGGCACTTGACTCCAAATCTGTTGACTTGAGTTTGATCCCTGGGACCCACATGTTGGAGGGAGAGAACAGACTCCTGCAAGTTGTTCCCTAACCTACACAATGGGGACTGATCTCTGGCTTCTATAGACATATGCACACATACACATACTTGCACACATACCTGCATGCACGCATGTACCCACACAAGTACCCCCCACGGGCACACATTCATGCACATGAACATGCACACATGGACACACACAAAAATACCTGCACGCACACATGCTTCTAGGGACACACACTAGCACACATACACAGACACACGGACACATAAATGCACCTGCACACACACATGCATGGACACATGCACACACATGCAACTTCTCATAGGCACACACAGCTGCACACACAGACACACACAGGCATTTGCATCTACACATGCACATGTGTACCTACACAGACACACATGCTTCTATAGACATGGGCACACACATAAGAACCTGTACACATAGAGATACACCCATATACATGCACACACATGCTGCACATACACACATGCTACACACAGACATGCACACACAGACACACAACTGCACACACAAGCATGCTGCACACGCACACAGGCACACAGCTGTGCACACAACTGTACACACACACAGGCACATCTGCACATACAGACACAACTGCACACACACACTGCACACACATACAACTGCACACACAAGCACACTGCACACACACAGTAACACAGCTGCACACATGGACACATAGAAGGAGCCTCCAGGTTGGCCTCATTGTAGCCAGGGAACCCACAGGACCACAGCCTCAAGTCCCACAGCAGTCACTGTGGGATGAGTAGGACAGCAGCCCTCTCCCTGAAGTCAGCGACGGGGATAAGCAGATAGGGGTCCAGATTCCGAGGGGCCACTAGGTCCCCAGGGGCGTGGTAGGATTGGAACTCAGGGCTCAGGCCCTGGCTGAACCTCCACGAATGGACAGTGCTGAGGGACCAAAGCTGGATGGAGTCATGAGCACCGAGGGATGCCAGGCTGAGACCAGGGATGCAGAGACCGCTCAAGGCGAGGTGCTGAGCCGCCCTCCCAGCTCAGGCTCAGGGAGGTGTCCTGGGCACAGTGCCTGAAAGAATTCAGGCAGATGGCAGATCGGAAACTCAGGGGCTCAGGGGAGGCAGGGTGAGGAGGAAAGGGAGGAGGAAGTGCTCCTGTCAGCCACACTCATTTTCCTGGTTAAGTTCAACATGTGAGAACAAGACAGGAAACTGCTGCAGCAGCAAGCGGCTCAGAGGTCAGAGCTAAAGAAGGACTTCCCCCAGTTTGACAGGTTGGGGGAGAGGTGCCACAGGACAGTGGAACACTTCTTCCTGTACAGCCGTCTAACAAGGCTGGAGCTGAGGC